TGCTGGACCTGAACACAGTTCACGTGTGGGCAGCGTGACCCGTGTTAGCAGGCGAGAACGAGGAGCGTCGCGCGTCAAGAAGATGCCAGCAAAAACTTGAGAAATAAGCTACCGATGGAGACGAGAGAATTAACCACTGCTGTCACTTTTTGCTATAGGTTTTGCACTTTCAGAACACGCCTGAGAAAGTCGATTTTTTGCAGGTGTTCGAACCCGTCGTTTGAAATTGATTTCTTTGTTTACGCTTTATTTATCACGATCCAAGAAGAGTAAGTCTAAAATGAATATTGGCAGGTGCATACTCATACTGCAGTGCGAATTCGAAAATTTTCCCTCGGACAAGTATGTCTGTAATCTACCACATCCTCGCCTAACACAAAAGCCAACTCTGTTACAGCAAGCTAACGATTGTCGGAAGAACTTTTTCGGTGTATTTATAAGTTATACATAATTGCTTAAATTTAGGTCGACTGAGACTGAAGGGGCTTGAAGATAAAATTATTCCTGATTCTGCCTGTCCCGTAGTTATAAAACTCTGGGTAGCACTCTAATGAGTGGATTAATCTTGGCAGCCGAACATTCGTGCGACATAGTTATGATTCTCAAAATTCTTTTAAAACGAAAAAGGCACCTTAGAAAAAGTGCCCTACCTATTTGGGACTGCAAAAAGTTGTTTTTGACAAGAAATCTGCATAATCAATACAGTATGTTTAGGCAATTTTTAGCTAAATAAGAAGTATTAGCGATTCTTAAAAGCCACAAGCCGTTTGGATCGCACAGGTATTTTATTTTGGATTATAAGACGCTAAGAAGGATGCTTCTAAAGGCGTCCAGGTTACACTGGTTTACCATCTAATCCAATGTATTAAGCGAATGCCTACCTGTCATTGTGCTCTGGTGTGGACAGATGAGTAGATAAACTAGTTACAGAATAATTAAGGTCAAAATGCAACATACACGGAACTAAAAGTGTCTTTGCCCAATAGCACGCAGCTAGTGTTTTCTAGATTGAGGCTAAATTTGTCTCGTCGTCATTGC